TGTGGTTGTAGAAAGCGGTGCCGTGTTTTCATGAGCTCTTCTAAAATGCTAACCTCCTCAACCCTATTTTCTCTAAAATAGAAGTTACTCTGATTAAAGGGTATAATTAATATACATGAATGAAACTCTATTAGGAATAATAGCAGCAGACGGGTACGATTTGGCATACATGGGGATGAGATATATATATATTTTTTTTTTAATGAAGAAGAAAAAAAGATAAGTGTTATCTTAAAGTAAAATAACTGGTCTTTCCAGAATAAGAAAGAAGACAGTAAAGGACAAAACCTGAGTGGATTAATTTGTAGAAGGTTTGTGAAAAGAGAAATTGATTACAGTATGCACAAATAATGAATCTGAAAATAAGTAATTATGTTAAAATTTTGTCAAAATCTGCCTCAGTTTTCATCTTTTTCATATTATTTTCACAACAAAGCTAGGGTTCCTTTAGTATCAAATACATCAATGCAAAAGTAGAATTTGGTGTTCTCTGTCTCTGTTAAAACGACAAAATTTTCTTGAATGTTGGTTACTGGTCTGCTTAAAGAGAAGTTATAAAATGTTACTCTTTCACCTCCTGGGTAATCTGCCTAGATGGCAAAAATCCAGTATATTACAGAATAATTTTCCATTATTTTTTTTTTTTTTATTTATGACAGTCACAGAGAGAGAGAGAGAGGCAGAGACACAGGCAGAGGGAGAAGCAGGCTCCATGCACCGGGAGCCCGACGTGGGATTCGATCCTGGGTCTCCAGGATCGCGCCCTGGGCCAAAGACCGGCGCTAAACCACTGCGCCACCCAGGGATCCCCAATTTTCCATTATTTTAAAAAACAAAGATTCTTAGGAAATAGCTAAGTTTCTTTACAATGTTACCTTCATTTTTTTTTTTAATGTATTATGGTCACTTTCAAATGGGTAGACAAGAACAGTTTGTTAGGCACTCATGATAAGCATTCAAATGTCCTAACAACCTCTGATTTTTTTTGCCTTCCCAAAATCAAGTCCTAAATGCAACATAAAATAAAACTTTCTGGATATCTTTCATACCTCAAACTATCAATGAGATATTCAAGAGGGCCCCTGGAAAATCACAAAGATTTGTTTTTTCACTTTTTAAAAAGAGAGGTGCTGCAAATGGTTAGGTTTATCTGAGATGTTGCTATTGACCAGCTGTGTGGAAATAACTGTGAAATCAGAATAGACACTCACCCTAATCTAGGTTAAATTTCCAAAGATAAAATGTTATTATTTATATAAGTATTTCACAGACTATATGCCATATGAGAAATTCCTACAGATTTCTCAGTGCCCTCTGGGTCTGTGCTCAGCATCCCAGGGTTGCTCTGCTGTGTGAGAACAGCACAGCACAGCCAGTCAGGATTTCAGGTCTGATTTAGAATGTCACCTGGTATACTATATGTTGGCAAATTGAATTTAAATTAAAAAGGGGGGGACGCTTCTGGGGGGTTCATCAGTTGAGCGTCTGCCTTCGGCTCAGGTCGTGATCCTGGAGTCCTGGGACGGAGTCCCACATCGGGATCCCTGTGGGGACCCTGCGTCTCCCTCTACCTGTGTCTCTGCCTCTCTGTCTCTTATGAATAAATAAATAAAATCTTTAAAATAAAATAAAATATTACCTGGGCTGCAATATTACTTCTTTAATTTGAATCTAATATTTTCAACTTGGGATGTACATGGGACTTTCCTTGGAGTTTTATTGAAATACAGTGTGTAGGGGTGCCTGGCTGGCTCAGTAGGAAAAACATGTGACTATTGATCTCCAGGTTGTGAGTTCAAGCCCCATGTTGTGTGCAGAGATTAAATAAATAAAATATAGATGTGTAGGACTTTTGCCATATTTACTCAATCCCTTCAACTGATGTTCTTGGTATATATATCTCTGGTATACTATATAAATTATATCTCAGGATTTTTAAATATCTCAAGACTTTCTTCTTTATAAAAATTGTGTTCACCCATTTTTATAAATTAAGATGTAATGTTCACTATCTCCTTTGAATTTATCTTACTTCGTTTTTAGGCATTGTCTAGATTTTTAATTGGCTTGATTTTGTTTTGCATATCTTAGGAACAATCAAATTTTCTGATTAGCCACATCACTCTTGTCATGAATTCTCATCAGGTTGTTCACATTTGAAAATTATTGTAATAAGTTAATTCATGCCTCTTTAGGTCTCTGTTACCTACAGAAAGTTTTTGTTTCATTCTAATGCTTCCTAAAGTTTCTTTAATCAGCTAGAGGCCAAAAGTTTTGTTTTTATCAAGCAAGAACTATCTCGAAAAAGCACTGTTCCAGGCACTTATTCTTGGGTATGGGCTTCTCATGGCATTGCTTATACATCTTTAAGAACATACCCAGTGGGTTGAGTCAGGATTTCCAGAACTGTAGTGAAGAAGCGGACAGGTTTATGAGATTGCTAACCCAAGATTCGGTGGGATAAGAATCGCATAGGCCCAAGTGAACTGATGAGGGATGGCCATCATTGCTGTTTGGAATATTGTGGATGTCATAGTGTTCAATTTTCTGGAAATATAAAGAAGCCCTACCAATTTCTTCTTCAGCTGTGAATGACCCATAACAATGTACTAGATTCTGTTTTTGTAAACTAAAATGAAACACTTGCAAATATCTCTTTCTCCCTGGCCACCCCACCCTCCAAATTCAGAAACTTTTGTTGAGTCTTCCTGCTTTTCATAGCCATATGGTGATTAGCAAAAGTTTAATAAGAAATTGTCCTTTTGTTATTATTGTTTACGTGGGCTCCACAACTAGTATGGAGACCAGCGTGGGGCTCAAACTCACCACCGGCAGATCAAGACCTAAGCCGAGATCAAGAGTCAGATCCCCAAATGACTAAGCCACCTAGGCACCCTGTGCTTTTTTTTTTTTTTAACCAGGATGTAATTAGAAAAATTGATTATATAACCAAGGCCTTACCTGGAATGTCATATTTGACAACAATGATCTTTGAATCAGATATAACCAGCCCCTTTTAAGGAACTAAGGTTGACTGCATGAAGCCAATACTAATAAAACCCTCCCAAGAAAACTGTTTACTGTGTTCCTTTATAGGCAAATAAGGAAGGTCCTTCCCTGGCAGGCCCAGTACACTTGGGATATTTTGGGGACTTCAAGAAAGGAGGAATTTGCTCACATTTATGGGTAACAGCAGGTAAAACTAGTGTTTTGGCTTTCTAATCTCAAAACAGTAAATAATACAGATAATAATAAATGAATTGAATAAATAAAGGCTTTTAAAAGTTCAATTTAAGATTTCTTAAGAGGGGATCCCTGGGTGGCGCAGCAGTTTGGCGCCTGCCTTTGGCCCAGGGCACGATCCTGGAGACCCGGGATCGAATCCCACATCGGGCTCCTGGTGCATGGAGCCAGCTTCTCCCTCTGCCTGTGTCTCTGCCTCTCTCTCTCTCTCTGTGACTATCATAAAAAAAAAAAAAAAAAGATTTCTTATGAAAACCTCCAGGGAAGCAACCTAACAAGGCCTGTATTGTAGATGAACACTCTTGCTGTACCTGTATACATAATCAGATCAAATCTGATGAGACCAGCCTTATTTTGTGATCAAGAATAATCTTTGCAATTATTTTTGATCAAAGCAGAGGAGACTGTAGAAAAAAAAAATACTTCCCTGGAAAACTGTGCATTGTCTAGAGGACACTCCTCCAATCACCCGGATTCTAGCCTTTCATTGACTTTGCGCTACTTTATAATTCTTTGGAGTGGCAGGCAACTGACAAGTCATGTGTAAGAAATGACAGTCTCAAATGAATAGTCTTTCCTCCCAACCTGCGGAAAAGCCAATCTGGTCTTAATATTCCTGATCTATAAATGGGCAAGTTCTTCAGATTCTTTCTTAATTGTGGTTAAAATATACATAACATGTACCATCTTGAAGCGTACAGATCACTGGCATGAAGCACCTTCGAGCTGCTGTGCAACCGTCCCCACCATCCATCCCCAGAACCTCTCATTGTCCCCAGCTGAAACCCCACACCCATTAGAAACAACGGCTCCCTCTTCCCTTCTTCCTAAGACTTTCTAACTGATCATAACATCTTCTGCCTGCCTTATGATCAATAAAATGAAAATCTTTAACACGTGTTCATTTTTTATATCCTATCAGTCATAATTTCATCTTTTTACGAAAAGTATCTTTTAATAGTCCTAAAACTCAAGAAGGATCAAATACTGTAAGAGAGTGAAGAAGGCTGGGAGTGATGGAGGGCTGTCACCAGTGAGGGCCGTCACTGCTCACCAGGCGCTGTGGGTGACCAGTCGTCCCAATTCGCCAGGACCGAGGGGGCTGAGCTGCAGGCTCTTACCTCTTGAAACCAGTAAGGTGGTCATCTTGAGAGCACCCGCGCTAGCTAAAGGGGATTCTCCACCGGAGTAATATAATTTGAGAATTTGGGCCTGGTGTGGCTCAATTGTTTCTCAAGAGGGGCCAGGGATCTGGCTATTTACATGACCGCTTACAAATTGTTAAGTGATGGCCACTAACACGATGTCACACACACACGCACACGCACTACTGTGCGGACCCAGAGACCTGCTCCAGTGCGTGGCCTGCGGTGAAGAGGGGGCTGGAAGCCGCCCTGCCCCGCGCACCCCGCACCCGCACCCCGCGCACCCCGCACCCCGACGGGCCGTCCGTCGCCTGCAAGGCCCCCTTGGGCAGGAGGGAAGCACAGGCTGGGGGGGGGCGGGGGCGGGTCCGCAGAGGAGCCCCCGGGCTCCGACAGGTGTGCCCCCACCCACGTCCCTGGGGCGCGGTCCCGGGACCCCCAGCTCCGGCCCCCCAAGGGGTGGGCGAGGACAAAGGCGACGCCGCCGCCGTGTCAGCCGCCCGGCCTCGGTGCCCAGCGGGTGGGGTGCGAGGAACCCCCCGGCCCCCCGGCCCCCGGCCCCCCGCCCCGGCGCCGCCTCCCTCCGCGGCTGCCGCCCCCCGCCCCGCTCACCAGCTGTCCCTGGAGAAGCTGCGCAGGAACCAGACGCCGGGCGCCACGGCGGAGCGCATCGTGCGGCCGCGACCGGGCAGGGCCGGAGGTCGGGAGGACGGCGCGGCCGCAGGAGGGCGCGGAGCCGGCGCGTGGCCCTCGCCCGCCGCCGCCGGGTTTAAATGCCCCGCGGCCCGGCCCGCCCCGGCTCGGCGGCCCGACGCCCGCAGCCCCCGCCCCCTCGCCCCTGCAGGCCCTCGGGGTCCGACCCGGCGCACACCGACCCCCCAGCCTCCGGCGCCTGCATTTCCCCTCCCGGACCCCGCGCGGGACCGGCCGCCCTCGGAGCTCCTAGAAGCGCCTCCGCCCTTGCGCTTCTGCTCCGCTCACTTCCCGCCCGGGACCGGGACCCAGACCGAAAGCCCGAGTCAGCTCTGCGCGACCTTCCGACCTTCCGCTGCCCGCAGCTCATTGCGGCCACCTGCGTCCTTCTGTCCTGGGAAACTGAGGCTCGCGGGGGGGGGGGTAGTGACATGACACCCGGTTCCCCCCTCACCCCCCCACCCCCCCCACCCCACCCCCGCCGCATCGCACTGATCTGAGGGTGGTGCACCCTCGGGCACCCTGAGAGCGCAGGAGGCTTTGCGGGGTTACAGTATCGGCCCAGGCAAATCCCTCCGGCCCAAGGCGGGCTGCCCGTCCCACTGGGACTCCGGGCTCCCGAAAGAGCCAGGCGGGCCTCTACCTGCCCCCCTCCCCAGGGAGACTGGCCTCCCATCTACTCCTGCGGGGACAGGCTTGCAGCCGTTCTGCTCTCCCTTCTGGAGGCAGCAGCCAGGCAGCAGGGAAGCAGCACAGAATTCTGTGCCCTTAGAAAGTGCTCCTCAAGGCCTCTAGCCTGAGGATTTCCAGGGCATGTTCCCACCTATGAAAAGAAGATACTGTGAGGTCTTTGGATTTGAACCCAAGAGGGGTGAACTCTACAGGGCCAGAAAGGAAGCATTCACCTGGAGAGTAAAGTTGTTAATAGAACATAAACTAGGAACATGTCCGTGCAAATTGATTTCAGCGCTAACACCACCCTACCCCGAACCCCTAGGAGGGCCCAGGCCTGAAGAGCAAGGTCATAAAGATGGAGCAATAAATCCGCCCAACAGGTCAGGGCCCAGAATGATGGGCTTGGCTGTTCCCTGCCCTGGAATCAAGCACAAAGAGGGTAAGCAGAGCTGTAATACCTCGTTAATGCCAGGTGTCAGGGGGCAGAGGTCTGGTCGCAGAAATGAAGACAACAACAAGCAGAGGACAGGAGGTGAAGGGATAGAGGAAAGAAGGAAGGAGATGGGAGGAAGGAACCAGTGCTAGATTAGGTGCGGCACAGAGAGGTCGAGCAACCAAAGGAAGAGCATGGTGAACAGCAGCTAGCCTCACCCTGAATTCTAGCACTAACCGTGCCCAGATATACATTCATTTCATTCTCACAAGCCAGTGAGGTGGGCATTACCCATCTGAGAAGGGCGACTCTAAGTCCTGGTTTACCTGGGACAATCCCAGGTAAAATTCCGCTCTCAGTTCTGGGGTCAGTAACACCCAGTAGACATGAGGCATAAAAGCCAGCAAGGTCAGGGGTGGAGAACAAACTAGAATAATCAGCTGATATCCCCAGGAAGACAGATATTTGTTTCTAAGGTACTAAAGAGGAGGAGAAAGTTGAAATACAAATGAACCAAGAAAGCTGCTGACTGGACTTGATGCTCCCTGGGAGGGGTCCATGGACAGTCCTGGAGGAATGGAAGGGACTGTCACCAGGGATCCAGAGGCGCTCCCCAGACTTGAGGAGGGTGGAACCTCCTGTCTTTCCATTTGCAACAGCAAGAAGTCCAGGAATAAGACCTAGGCCTGCTCGCTTCACGTGCTTCTCTGGAGATGTTGTGTTTGTGCCTCTTAGGGGACCCCGCTGGCCTGGGGCTGGAACCCCCAAGGGACATTAACGGCATGCCCTCGGGTGGCATGGCTATTCTTCACCGGGTGCCAACAAGTGGCTGGGAGCCTGGCCAGTCCTGACATAGTCTTTGCCTTGTTCCCGTTACTTCCTGTGAATTCCAGCCTTGTATCCCTGTTCAGGGGCCAGGGTGACACCGGAACACTCTTACCAATGTTCCTTACTTGTTCCTGGGGGTGACTAGACAGTCAGTCTCTTTGCTTCCTGCAGCTTGAAGGAGTGACAAAGAGAATGTTATGGCTCAGATCCTCCTTTCACTCACCTACACAAGCTCTCTACCCTTGACTCACCTTCCTGTTATCTGGCACCCCTTACACACACTCCTCAGGAAATAAGGAAGGGAGGGAGGAGTCACCAAATCTAAAGGAAAGGCTCTTCAGTTCTTACTGTGGCTGGCCCTGTCATTTGTCCCAAATGCTATGGTCGAGTATCAGACACCCGCAGCACAGAAGCTGGCAGTTAATGGGCCTCTTGCCCATCAAATGCCAGCTCCTACTGCTGGGTAGGAGTTCCTAGTTCCTACTGGTTTACTGATCACTAACAAGACTTTCTGGGTAGCCAATGATCTGTATAGGTCCTTTTTGATATGGTAACAGTATCCTCCCTACTTTTTTCCCAAGGGATCCAGGGACCAAAGGCTTGAGAAGGCCTAATGAGAGCTAGTGCCATGAGAATAAGCTATGAGTCAACAGAAGTCCAAAATCCCTGCACACACACAAGCCGGATTCTCTGAACACCTCTCCCTCCTCCCACTTCTGACTTACCAAACAGAGAATGGCATATTTTTTTGTGATAGAATCAAGACCCAGACCCTTGATTAATGGGGTAGAGGTTGGGATATTAGGGGAGATAGAGACTCTTTGACCTTTTAAAGATTCAATTTCATATTAGGCTTTTTAAATTAAGATGCCAAGTGTTGTAGTGAAAAGAACACAAGCTTTGAGGCAGAGCCAATCCTGACCCAAACACTACTACTTCTCTGAACCTCTAACATACATAATAATATCTGTCCTTGCAGGGTGGCTATAAGAATAAAAAATTCTGCATATAAAAAGTGCCTGGCCAGGGGCACCTGTGTGGCTCAGTTAGTTAAGTGCCTGACTCTTGATTTCAGCTCAGGTCATCATTGTGGGGTTGTGAGAAGGGAGCCCCAAGTTGAGCTCCATGCTGGTTGTGAAGCTTGCTTAAGATTTTCTTTCTCTCTCTCTGCCCCTCCCCCAACCCTCTCTAAAAAAAAAAAAAAAACCCGAGGGGGCCTGGGTGGCACAGTCAGTTAAGTGTCCAACTCTTGGTTTTGGCTCAGGTCATGATTTCGGGGTCATGAGATCCAGCCCTGTCCCCCTACCCAAACCCCTCCGTTGGGCTCAGCACTGGGCATGGAGTCGGCTTGAGAGTCTCTCTCCCTCTCCCTCTGCCCCTCCCTCTTGTGCTCTCTTTCTCTACAATAAATAAATAAATCTTAAAAAAAAAAAACACCTGGCCATATAAAGTAGGTTTGGTAAGTGGAGCAATCATTATATGTGCATGAGATACTGACTACAAAGGATAGACACCAATGGCCATTATAAATCATAAAAAAATATATAGGGTTCAAGATCAGAGTCCTTAAAAAGTGCCAGTGAGTATAGCTGAATAGGTTTAACCTATATATCATCAATATCCTGTGTGCGTAGACATGTATGTGTGTGAATGTGCATGAATGTTGGTATCTTACGTATGTATGACTTTACTCACTGACGTTATTGTAAGCATCATGACAACACACGTTGAATAATTTGGGGTTCACAAGGATGGATGCATGGGTAGAGGAAAGTGCCGGAAAGAACGAAAGGAGCTATTATTATCTCAAATGTGACAGATGCTGACATTTCACTAAATTTCTCCCAGCCAACACAATCAAAAGATAGATAAGCAAAGTGACTATGTATCCCAAAAGATTTTATTTCAAGGAAAGACAAAGAAAGTCCTAGGCTTGATACAACTGGTCAAAAGTAAGGGCTTCACTCTATTCAAGGCAGGACGGATGGTTCATACTGGCCTAACGAGTGGGCTTTGAAGACCATTATCAGCCAAGCAAGGAGGCAGCCCGGCTCTCAAATGGTCAGCCAGTGATGGTAGCAAATGTATGTGAGGAATGAGAGCAGGGAAGAAAGGAGCAGACTGGGGAGGTGGCTAGATTACTAGTCTCCTGAAGTAATTTTGTTGGTGTGGGCAGAAATAAAAAGAAGATATGGTAATGAAAAAAGTGAGGCAGCCTCAGGCAGCCTCGTCATACAAGCTGAGGACAATTTTTGGTTGTTCTAGTATCTGAAAGTAACAATTCATTCATCTATTCATTTAATAAATGCTGGTTACGTGGCAACTATCTGCCAGGTGCAGCACTCTGTGCTAGGGATACATTGATAAATAGGACAGGTACTACCCCTAACCTCAAAGAACATACGGCTGAATGGGACAGAGATGCAGAGAGCCCTAATTCCACCTCAAAGAGCTCCAGGAGAATAAATCAATTCAAGCAAGAAATAGCTTGTAGAATTATGTTCATTCTGCTATGGTGACACCGAGAAGGGATCAGATACTGACTGGGAAAGTCTTGAAAGGCTTCACAGCGGGTAATATAAGAAGCAGAACTGGAGTTAAGTATAGCTCAGTGACTGTCAAGTAGAGAAGAGGGGACAGGAGCAGCAGAGTGCACGTGCACCAGAGGGATCAGGACCTGAGCTGAAGGCTGACGCTTAACCAACTGAGCCACCCGGGTGCCCCTGTTGTTACTGGTTGTAAGATGCTCAAGAGCCTTAAAAAGTCTGTTACGGGATTGGGATTTTATCCTTTGGGCAGCATATAACAGGAGGTTTAATGGTTTGTGGGGTTTGTCTTTTTTTTTTTTGGTGGGGGTGGGGAGAGGGAGAGAGAGAATCCTAAGCAGGTTCCAAGCTCAGCACAGAGCCCAATGCAGGACCTAACCTTACAACTCTGAGATCACAACCAGAGCTGAAATCAAAATCTTTGTGGTGATGGAATCATTCTGGATCTTGATTGTGGCAGTATTTACATGAATCAACATGTGGAAAGGGCACACGTAAAACTATACATATATATTGTGCCAATGTCAATTTTCTGGTTTTGATATTATACTATAGATACATAAAATATAACCATTGGGGGAAACTGGGTGGAGCCTACACAGGACCTATCTGAACTACTTTTGTAACTTCCTGCA